CAGCCCCTACCTGGAGCAGGAAACTCAGGCAATGGCATGAGTTGGACTGGGGGCTCTGGGAGCAAAGCTGCTTATGGGGACTAAGAAGGAAAGGGCAGTTTGTGTGTCCCTGGCGTCTGGCTGGGCTGATTCAGGATGTTTCTTCTGAAGAGATTATTTGTATCTAGGTTGGAGGAGTCTAGAGCAGGCCTCTTACTTGTCCCCACAGACCTCCATTCCATAGGAAAAGCCAGCTTGGCCTGGAGGCCCCCCCCCAGCTTCACTACCCGCCTCCCTTTCCCAGGCAGGCTGCCCAGGCCAGGATGTGGATGGGAACTGTCAACAGACACTCTTTAAATATTTACCCACACTTTCTCTGGGGGGTTTCCTCCATCCCCAAGACTGAACAAATTCAAGTTAATTCTAATGAATGAAAGAACCTTAGTTCATCAGTACCCTTCCCTGGCCATAGATGTGTACAATTATGTGGGCTTAACACAGAGAGAAAAAGGGAGAAAGTGAGAGAGCCATGTTTATGTGTGTTGTGGGCATATGAATGAAAAGATGAATGAGAGTGATTTTTCTAGTCCTCTCCCTCCACAGTCTGTGAGGTTGTTACACACAGGGCAATTCTGGGGCACACTCGGATACACACACACTGTGCATACTACCTTCTCACCCTGAGACACATCAAGTGCATGCTCACTGTAAACTAGCATATGCATGCCTGGAAGCATTCCTGTCACCTCGGACACTGTACACACACACGTGCACACTCAGGCACGTATGTACATAATATCTGACAAACACAGATGCTCTTCTAGCTCTTTGCATCATTAAAAAAAATGTGTTACCTGTTTTCCTTCCACATCCTGGGGTTTCGGGGTTGGATGAGGAAGGAGGTGGTTAGAAAACCAGATCTTTTCCTTCCCCATTAGGAGCCCAGCTCTGGGGATGGAGAAAGACATGGCAGTGCAGGGCAGGATAGCTTAGAGAGAAAGAGCCCTCTCCTCTCCACAACCCCATCATCCCTCTATTATCTAAATAATTGCTGGGGAAATGGCCACTCTCAGCCAGATTCCCAAAGGAGATTCACTGGTGCCACAGCAAGAGACCTTTCCAGGAATTCCTGCATTTGGGGGAACCCAGTCCCATCTGAGTTAGGGACTTCCCAAACTCTTTGACACCCATAACTCTGGCCAGAGAGCAGCAGGAGGGAAGGGTCAGAGAGGGGCTGTGCCAGGGCTGCCGGCCTCCCTAGAGTCCAGAATAGTGGGGGTCTCCATCACTCCAAGAGCCCTCTCCAGCCTTGGCTCCAGCCCTGCCTTTTCTTAGCCTGCTCTTCAGGTGCTGAGATGAACAGGGCGGACTCTGGGCTCCCAGCATCTGGGTCCCTGGAGACTGTCATAAATACTTTCTCTTCCCTTGCCTGGAAGCCTGGAAAGAGGAGGCCCAGAGGGCCGGATCCGCTCTGGGGCCTGCGCCTTATCTTTTAGGGGGTGGGGGAACATTTCGACATTTTATGGTGCAGCGAAAACCCTGCCACAGAGCTATTCTTCTGGGCTTTTGTGTCTTGGAATGCGACTGTCCAGAGTGTTCCGCCACCGCCGCCTGCCCGGAGAACCCACCAGTCCTGAAACCCCTGGCCGGACTTGATTTCCCTTTCGGGGATTCCTCGCGTTTCTTACATTTAATTAAAAAAATTTTTTTTCTTTTACACGTATCTGGTTTGTTTCGCTCCCTGAGCCTGGAAATAAAGGAACCGCAAGCAGCCATCCTCGCCGGGGCCGTCTCTGTCCCTCTCCCCGAGGCCTGCACCGCCCTCCTAGGTACCACGGATTTATGTTCGTTTGTCCGGGTCATTCTTCCTTTTTGTGTTAATTACGCGCTGCCCGCTTCGCACTTATCTCCTCCGCAAAGCGATTATTTTCGATGCCCGCCCTTCTGCGCCTCCCGAGCCCGCTACCAGAGCGAGGTCCCATCTCCTGCTGCCACTCGCGAATTATTTACACCTCACAGGTGAGAGGATTAATTTGCTCGGAGCCAGCGGGGTCGGTCCGGGCCGAGGCGCGGGGCCTTCTCGCCGTGGCTCCCGGCCGGGCCTCAAATGTCAGTGCAGCCAGGACGGCCCGGGGCACCGCCGCCTCTAACATTGAGCAACAGCGCCACCTCGCGTCCACTTGCTCCAATGCAGTCCGGGCCGGGAAAAAGCCAGGAGAGGTCCCAGGCTTGACCCAAAGGTGGGAAGTGGGAGGAAGGAGCCTCCAAATGGGTGCGAAAGAGAGGGATTCCGCGGAAGGGAGTTGCCCTGGGACCGCTGTTCTTTTGTTTTCTAAGCTCTTGAAATAAACCTCGTAAAAGGTTCCACACTTTTCTCTTTTCGTTACCCTCCCTTCTCGCAGTGAGACACTGTTCAAAGAAACTGCCACGATCTCCCTCCATTCAGCCGCAATTCTAAGGTCCGAACACCTCCGCGCACGCGGATGCACGCTGCGCAGCCCCCGCCACCCTGTCCGCCGCGCCGCACCTTACACCCTAAACTCCTCGCCCCTCTTACCCTGATGCTGGCCCCGCACCGCCTATTCTGCCACCTCCTGAAGGACTTTGGGGTGGGATTCTGACTTCTCCAGGCTGTTTGCCCCCTGGTTTGTAGCCCATCCCTCTCTCGAGAGCTCTCTCCACCTCTCCCTTCCAGCCAGTGAGATACTGTTCTCCGTGGGCTATAGACAAAACATTCCTATAATCCGATTTCAAAGGAAAGAGTGTCCACCTTATTTAAACCATAAAACAATTAAGCCCAGACGTCTAGCCAGCTCCGCGCTGCTGTTTTGTTCAGCCCCATTCAGAATCCAGAGCAGGGAGACAAACAGCGCCATAAAAGTGGCATTTCGGGGTTGCGGAAATGTACCTATCCTGCCTTCCCAACTGGAACAACCTTTAGGGTTTTGTGATTCTGACAAAGGAGCAGAGGAGAGGAGGGAAGGAAAGACTAGGGCAGGGGGGCGTTTGGTAGTCCCTTTCTCTCCCCAGCTTCCATTTCTTTCTCCAGATGTGTGTCGTATTGTTGTTTTAATTCATAAGTGATAGTGAATAAAAATCCAATCCAATCCTGACGTCCAGGCTGGAGGCTGGGCTGGGATTGAACAGTGGGTCAGGCTGGATGGGCCTGGTCTGTATCCCATGCTCTGCAGAGGGTCCTCTAAGCCCTGCGGCCCTCCTTCCTGCCCGCAGTAAGCCCGGCTCGGCGGGCTGCAGGAAGCAGGCCGCGCTGACAGACGCCGAGGGGAGGCGACAGGGCCTTGGAGCAGGGGCGGGGTGGAAGCCCGGAAACGCTGCCGAGCTCGGGCTGGCAGAGAAGCGCGCATCCCGGCGGTCCAGACCCAGAGAGAGAGGGGTGCCTTGGCCTCCATCGGGTGCGGAACTGGGGCCAGGTTTCCAGAACAGTGAAATGGCCGAAGGGAGTTGTGAGGAAGCGAGAAAAGAGAGAAAACCATCGGCAAGGCATCTTTTAAAAAGATCAAGAAAACAATGCTTCTGGAATTGGGAAGGTTTCCTAGGTGGGAAACAGGAGCGGGTGCTTCAGAGACTGCCAAGCCCATAGTTGTGACTTTATTGCTCCCCCCCCCAAATGTTATCAAAACAAAATCTTCACCCCTTCCTAACTTCCTCCAGCCCCCGAAATTGGACTGCTTAATGGAAAGAGAAGGTCAGAGATTCAAATGATAGGGAAATAGCTGGTCTCTACAAGTGCCTCACCCATCCTGTAAGGTGATGCTAGCGGGGGAACCGCAAATGGGCTGGGGCCCCCAATTCTTTTCTTTTATGGTGGTATCCCCCAAGTATGCAGAGCAACACCCTGCACCCTCGGCAGAATGGGCAGCCTAAGATATTAAAGGGCTATATTTCAGGCAGTCTGATTTTAATAGTTTCCAGATTGGGGGATTTCCGAGAAAGGGGGCGCCAGGCCGAGGCATACCCGGCAGCTTGTGTCTGCTTCTGATTAGCAGATGAAAACTGCTGGTTCTAGGGAAGGTGCTCTGGGGTGCAGTACAGCCAACCAGCCCCACCAGGCTGTTACATACATCTCCACACGTTTGTGCTTGGGGGCTTGGGGTCCCACTAGGGAGCACCCCACTCCTGGATAGTCTCTGACCAGCTTCATTGAGCTCTGACCGCACCATTCCCTAGAAATGCTGCAGCTGCTCAGCCTGACCCAGGTCATCCCCAGACCAACATTCAAACTAAATGAGAGAGAGAGAGAGAGAGAGACAGAGAGAGACAGAGAAACAGAGAGAGACAGAGACACAGAGAGAAAGATATTGAGGAGAGCAAGGAAGGGAGAGGAGCTGAGAATGCACTGAGAAGTAGAAACCAAATCTAATTCTGATTGTACTGATTTTGCCATCTCTTTCCTTCTCTCCTTCCTTCCTTCTTTCCTTCCCTCTCTCCTTCTGTCCTGTTCCCCCTCCTCTGCATTTTTCTTCTTTTTCTCTCAATGCAGGCCTAATGGCTGTCCTGCCCCCCTGAGGCCTTCCTGGCCTTCCTCTTGGCCGCAGCCCCCTCCCAGCCCTCTTTCCCAGCCATCCCTGGAAGCACCAAAGCACCAATGCAGCCAGGCAAGAATCCAACCCTGGGCCCTCACCCAGCACCCAACTTTCATCTTCACCTATCTCTACCCTCCGATCTCATGTACTCATAAATTATTACAATTAATTACAGCCAGGGAAAGCCATTCATGCTGTGCCACCACCACCCCCCAATCTAGCTACCAGGAACTTGTAGGCAGCCAGCCGGGGCAGGCACAAGCTGGGCCCCAGCCTCAGCAGCCTCCATCCTGCCCCTGGAGCCCCCACCCCCACCCTGCCCTGCCTGGAGAGAAGCAGCAGGCATTTGCCCTTCCGAGGTACAGGAGCCCCTTCTCTGTCTCCAGCCTCCCCTAGAGGATCTCAGCACTTGCCTCCACGACAGCAGCCTGGGAGCCACAGGGAGGAAAAATAACAAATAACGAGAACTGGATGCAGTTGGGTTTCTGATTTTTTTTAAGTGAGTTCGATATATTAACACAGAGCTGTTCTACCATAACAAACAGAAGCACATTACAGGACGAATGCTGGGGTTGGACGCTGGGGGTGAGAGGAAATACTGCTACGTATACGCCGGAGGCACCGGCCTGCCCTGCCCTACCCAGCCTGCGGCGCAGTCCCCGGCTCTCGCCCCTCAGCTCCTGGGCTGGGAATCATTATTGTGTGTGTGTGTGTGTGTTTTGTACAAAATCTGCACGCATAGCGCCCCAGGCCTGGGGAGGGATAGCCCAGACCAAATATGATACAGGAAAAAAAAAATAGAAATATAGCGATTCAAGTACTGGCTTCTCTGAAGAAAGGAGAAAAAAAATCACATTTGTGTGTGTCATTTATTTCAGTTACGCTGGGGGAAGAGAACGCGGTTTCTCTCCCCGCCTCCTCCTCACTGCGTAGAACTAACTCTAAAACACCAATTTCTCAACACTGAACCCTCCCAAATCGCAAGAGTTTTCCTTCCCCCCCCCTTTTTTTTCTTTTTAAGCTGATTGGCTTTTCTCTATCTTGCTCTTTTCTTTTCTTTTTCGTGCTCTCTCCCGCCTGGGTTGGGGTATTTTTGTGGGGCTTTTGTTTTTCCCTTGTCTGTGCCGAGGCAGCAGGCTGGGCAGGGTTTAGGATTGCTCCTTGTCGGTTTTCTCTTTATTCATCTTTTTCATCTTCATCCTCCGGTTTTGAAACCAGATTTTGACCTGCCGCTCAGTGAGGTTGAGAACCCGGGCCACCTCGTACCGACGGTCCCTGGTTAAATACATATTGAAGAGAAACTCCTTTTCCAGTTCCAGCGTCTGGTACTTGGTGTAGGGGCAGCGCTTCTTCCTCGTGGAGCGGGCGTGGATCCAGTTGGCCACGGGGTTGCCTGGAGGGCCAAACACAGGCAGGGGTCAGTGAAGCCCCTTTCCAGACCAGGACCTCTGCCACTCCACCCCCAGGCTTAACCAAGCTCCCCAAACCCAATAATTGAACCTGAATTTGGATACGTTTTGCTTTAGGAATTTTCCCTCTTCCTCCTTTTGCATTCTGCCCCCGCCCCATTCCCCCCCCCTTTTTTTTTAGTTTCCAGTACCTAAAACGGTAGGAAATCTGAAGCTATCAAAGCCCCTACAGTCTGGTCCTCTGCTTCAAGAGTAGTAATTCGAGAATATCCTCATAAAAAGTCCAAATTCCCAACCGTTTCATAGGCCCATAAACGCTTCTCTCTCTTGTTTTTTATTTTTATAGCGAGGTCTCTCTCCTCCCCACCTCCCTCCTCCTCTGCCCCCTCCCATCCTCCCAGCCCACGACCAAGTCCTGAAATTTTAGCAGTTCTGCTTCCTGACCCTGAGAGTCCCTAAACCCCTCACCACCCTCTCCAGCACCCGTCTCCCGCTCGGAGTTCGACCCTGCTGAGGCGAATTCTCAGGGTGATGCTGGGATGGGAAAAGTCTTTCTCTTCTCCCCAGAGAGCTGCTGGCCTTGGGGACAACTCCCCTATATCTTAGGTTGCCTGTTTGGCCTCCAGTGCCCCCCTCCTGCCAGCCCCAGGACAGGCTCTGCAGGAGCCAAGCCTCCAATTTCAGGTTTATGGGAGTAGCTAAGGGCAGTGAGAGAAGGCTTCAGAGGGGTATAATTAGGCCCTGGCCCCTTATGAGGCTGGAGGAAAAGATTTCCTGCAGCCCCCTCCTGGGACTCCCCCAGACACTTCCTCACACCCAAGGGGCTGCACCCCTTCATCCGCTATTTTTCCTTCTTTCCCCTTTTTTTGGCTCTGCAGCTCCTACCTGCCCCCCACCTACCCCAGCCCTTCTTTGGAATACTCAGAAGGTTCCTGTTTCCCTGATTGAAGAGTGTGTATGTGTGTGTGAGAGAGAGAGAGTGTGTGTAGAATTCTCTAATCTTAGAGATGCCTTCCCCACTCCTCATCCCTGACTTCCATTCTCAACCCTTTCAGACCCTCAGAAGAGGGTTCTCAAGTTTAAGACGACTCAGACCCCAGTTTTCTCCCCACTTCTCTCTGGAAGTACTGATCTCTTCAAGTTCCCAGGCTGATAAATCTCCCAGACCCCTCACCCAGTGCTTCTGGAAGAGAAGTCCATGGATCTTCTGTTTCTGTTGCTAGTGGGGTGAGGATCCCCCATGCTGACTGGGAGGAAGGGCTGATTTTTCTCCCTGGGGTATTCCTTCTCTGCCCCTAGGGTCCTCCTCACCTCTCCCCTGTCCCATTGCAAACCATAAAATGAACCTCGCCCCTGCCTCATCCCCTGGTCCTGTCTGCATTTCTTCCAAAGTGGCGACTGAGCCAAAAAGCCTGGGCTGGGAAGGGGGACAGGGGTCTCTCATCAAAATCAGCTCGTGGGAGAGGAGCCCCCCTAGGCCCTCTTCCAACCTGGCTCCCTGGGCCCCCTTCTCAGACCTTCCTGCCCCTGAAAGCTCCCCAAGGTAATTCGCTTTTATTGAGTCCTCGCCCCTCGCCCCTCTCCCGCGCTCCCTGCGCCGCTCGAAGGGGCTGTAATCCGGATCCCCCCGCCCGTCCTCCCCTCCCCTCCCGCGCCAGTTGTAAAGGAAAATTGCTCCCAACTTACTGGGGTCCAGGTCGGCCTTCTCCTCTTTGTGCTTGCTGCCGGCGAGGGCGTCCGCCTCGGGCGAGGGCAGTGTCTGCGGGGCGCGGTCGCGCAGCTCCCCGGGCGAGCCGTACATGTAGTCCGGGTAGCTGCGGCCGTCGCCCGGGCCGCAGTCGGCGCGGCGCCCGGGGTAGGCGTCCGGCTTGAGGGCGTAGTGACGGCCCCCGGCCGGGAAGCTGGGGAAGGAGACGGCGCCGGACAGCGGCTCGAGCCAAGTCCGCATGTAGCGCGTGTCGGCGCCGAGGTGGGGCTGGGGGCCGTACGGGTGATAGACCACGGACGACTGCGAGGGCACGGGCGCCCACGACGTGCTGAACACTGCGGGCTTGGGCGCGAAGCTACAGGACGGAAAATCGCTACAGTCCGGCACCAGCCCGCTGGGTCTGGCGGCGGCGGGGTGAGCCCCAGTGGCCGGAAACCTGGACGCTAGGAGGTCTTCATTGTCGTGAGAGATGAGCGAGTCCACGTAATAGTTACTGATGGGCCCCGTCGCCGACATCGTAACAGGGTTTTACATACATAAGATTATTGTATGAACTGTATATGTACTTTTTATCTGCTCACAGAACAATCAAGGCAGGTAATTATTTTTCCAGCCTTTTCCCCGCAGCTCATTGGTTCCCGGCCCCCACGTGATCGTATTTACCCAAAAATACGGCGCGGATCAATGCGCAGGGGCTTTTTTTTTTTTTGTGTGTGTATTTTTTTTTTTTTTTTTTTTTTTTTTTTTTTTTTTTTTTTTTTTTTTTTACTCTCCCACCCCCTTCTCTCTGCTGATCCCCGCGACCTGCGTTTTCCTGGGGGTCCGGAACTCTGGACCCAAGGCGCCGGCCACCCGCTCAGGACGGCTCGTATCTCATCAGAGAACGCCCCATGCCCATGTCCACCCACAAGCAGATGGCCTCCCCCTAACTATGAGGATTTTTTAATGGGGTGAAAATGCCAGTCTCCGAAGCCAGGGTTCCCGGACCCCCGGGGCCGAGCCGGGCGCGGGAGCCCCACAGGGGCGGGGAGGCCGGCCGAGGTAGGTGGAGGAACTATTTCTTGACGTAATCCGTCTCTGTCGGCCCCGACGCTCCCGCAGTCTCTGCGCGAGCCCAGATCAGCGATTGTCAGTTCGGAACGTGGCTTTTAAAAATGCGTTTTTAAATAGTGTGTATGTATGTATTTCTTTCAAGAGCAGCAGCAGCGAGGAGGGAGGGAGGGTGGGAGGGGACTGAGGCAGCTGGGGTGGAGAGAGGAAAGGAGGGAAAGGGGAGCGTCCTTCTGTCACTGGCCAACTCAGCCCCCCAAATCTGGGGTAGGGAAAGCTTGGGGAAGGTGGTCTGCGGGTGGGAGGGGTAGAACCTGCGGATCTCGTACACCTTTATCAGCAGCGTCAGAAATCTTCTCTTTGCTTTGGCACAGATAAACAGGCGCCTTTATTTTAGATTTATTGTCTATGTCTATTTATCTTTCTTTGCCAGCTTGAAGAAGTGGAGGAGAGATCTACAGAACTTAAGAGGGGCGTCCCTATCCCGTTTTCCTGCTCACCCTCCTTTGCCCCCAACTCCATCTCTGCGACACCGCCCCCCCAAAAAAAGAAGTCACTCCTTGGTTCTGTCTTCCAGAGAGCCAGGGTGAGAGCGGGCAAGGCGAGAGAGCGACCTCGGTCGTGGGCAAGTAGCTTGTTTTTACGTCCTTCAATAAAATTTTTATGAGGATCATTTGATTGTTCATAAATGTGTCTTTCATTAAATAAAATTGTAGGCTGTTTTTGGAACGGGGATAAAAGCAACAGAGGGATGGGAGAAAGCAATTTCTTTGGGGTCGGGTGCAGGAATTCTGGAGGAGGCAGTGTGATTGTTGGGGAATATCAAACAACTTGGATTCCTACCCCCAATAAGTTGGTTGCTACCCTCCTCCTTGAATTTGGGGTTCCTTTTGCCCAGCCTTCTGTTTCCATCAGACTGTCCCATGGTGGTTTAATAAAGGGGGGCTTTAGGCAAGCAGGAAATTCTTACTGTGGGTGCAGGACAGGGGGGCAGGGAGGTTGGCTGGGGGGAGGAGAGGGACAGGTGATGTCCCCAGAGACATGGTGCACCTACGCAGGATAGACTGTTTGAAGGAGGGGTGCAATTTCAGGGTCAGAAGGGAAGAGTCCCAGCCTGCGCCAGGGGAAATAGGCAGGGGCTGAGGCTGTGATACAGGATCTGAAGGCAGCAGGGACGGAGGCTTCCCAGAACCGGCCATGGGCCACGCCTGCCCTTCTTTCCATCTCTTGTCCCTAGGAGGGGACCAAACGCCAGGGGTGGGGGCAGGGGCTGGTTTTCTCCCACATCTCTGTCGTTCTGTCTCTTCTGGGGTAGAGAAGGGCTAGAGAGTGTAATATGTAGAGGGGGAGGAAAGTTGGTGGGGAGGGTATAGCAGCACCGACCCCAGCTCCACAGGCCACCTCCCCAGTCCCTGCTCCTCCCCCTCTCCTATTCTTTCCTTTTCGGTCTAGCGGGGCTGGGATTTCGACGCATGGGGGTGGGGGGAGATGAGGGAAGTGTTTGTCTGGGGAGAGGCGACCTGGGGCCTCAGCCTCCTTCCCCTGGGCTCTGACTGTCTTCCCCTCCCTTGGGCTAGACTGGATAGGAAACCAAAACTACAACAAGAAACCGAATATCTCTTTGGCCTTGATGGAGTCAGGTTAGCTGTCAATCAAAAAATCTCTCATACTAGTTCAAGGAAAAGACATGAGGTTCCAGTCCCCCTGCCGAGGCTTTCTCCAAATCCCCAGCGCAGCCAGCACCTCCCCCAGCCCCGGGCGGCTGGGGACTCAGCCGGCTCTTGGGCTGCTGCTGGTAGCGACGAGAAGAGACATTTAGCCTTCAGCGGGGCCAGGGGCCAGACTGAGACCACATCAAGGGACAGAGCCTGAGAGAGACTCAGTCCAAGACAGCCTGAGACTGAGACAGACCAACTGATTCACAGCGCCAAGGCCTAAGGAAGGAAAGAAGGAAATGGAGGATTGGAAGGGACAGAGCCTGAGAGAGACTCAGTCCAAGACAGCCTGAGACTGAGACAGACCAACTGATACACAGCGCCAAGGCCTAAGGAAGGAAAGAAGGAAATGGAGGATTGGAATAGAAAGAAAAAAGAGGGAGAATTAAGGAAAAGAAGGAAGGCAAGATAAAAAGAGACAGGAGAGCAGAGAAAGGAAGGCGTGCAGAGAGCGAGGCGGAGGGAAGGCGGCGATACGCAGGCAGGACGGGGCAAGGCGCGAGCTGGCGGAGCTGGCGGAGCAGCCGTGGCATTGTGCAGCCCGCTTGCTTGCCGGGCCTTTGCCGCGGGACTGGCTCTGGGCGCGGCAGCCACTTCTGTCTGGACACAAAGGAGGAAGAGGCCTCCTCTCCTGGCCTTCCCAGGAGACCTGTTTGGGTGGGTACACTGGCCTCCGGGATATAGAATCTCATGTTGGCCCAGGCAGCAGCCCAGGCGGCTGGGGGCTGAGCCACACTCTAGTCAAGGAATGAAAAAACAGAAGAGGAAAGCCTCCTCCTCCTCTAAAGTCTTTGCCAGGGGACAGGAGCCCCTCTGCCCCAACCCCAGCTTTCCTAGAGAAAAGAGGTCCTAAGGGTCCTCTCCTATGGGTCTTTGCTATTTGGGAGAGCCCCTCAAATAGACATGCTGGCTGTAAAGAGACGCCCCTTTCTCTCCTACCCTCTTTGAACACCGCCTTCCTTTCAACTCTTGAGCTGCTTCCACACCCTGCCTGCCCACCCGGCAGAGGCGGCAGCAGTGGAGCAGTAGAGATCACTGGCTGGGATCCCTGCAGCAGTCAAATCCCCTGTGAAACCAAGGGGGAGATTGTCGTCTTCCTTTCCTTTTGGAAGCATGAACTCCGGACCCTCCCCACTCAGGCGAAGGCACAGCTGTGGATCAGGAAGCAGGCCTCGCCCACAGCCCCCTCCCAACCAATGTCCCATTCTCCCTAGGCCTTGCGAAGAGAGGCAGCCTTCGGGATGGGCGCTAGAAGAGGCTCCGAGTCCCTGAGTCCACTAGGCCAAGGTCCAAGTTTCCACAATTGCATTTGGGTTATAGCCCCCATTCTCCACATTTGGAGGTGGGGTGGCAGATCAGGGGTCTAAAACAGATCTTCAGGTTTCCCCCAAATCCAGGTTTGTAGGTGTGGGGGCACAAAGGATATGGGGGCACCAAGAAGTGGTTCTCTTCCTGGGGTTCAGTTACTCCTGAGTCTCCTGCCACATTCTAAGTCGCCCTCTAACCCATACCACTCCCTTCAATTTTCTTCAGCACCGCTGGGGTGAACCAAGGGACTGGAGGCCACTGGGAGTCCCTGTTGGGGAGGAGGAAACCCCAGCTTTAGCTAGTAGCTCTGCATTCATTCTGGTTCTTAGAGTTCTCCTCCCAACCCCAACAGATTCCACTGAGTGCAAGAGAGCCCCTTAAGGGGGAGGGGCACCCTTACTCCATCACCTCAAACCTGGGCAGCGGCGACCATAACCAATTTAGCACCGTGGGAAGGACAGACAGAAAGACAGGTTAGAGTCGTCCCCTCCCCCTTGACCAGCGCCTCCCTTTTAGTGATTTAAATTCCCTCCGGTTCAATCCACACCGTCAAGTTCGGATTAAATTTAAAACAGGCTTTCCTCGGTGCCCCCAGCGGGCCATCCCAGCCTCCGCAGGCAGGGAGCCCGCTCCAGGCTCGTCAGCGCCCGCCCTGCGCGGAGGAGGCCTGCTCCATTTGCTTTCATTTTCCTTCTCCCCCTGAAATGGGCTCATTTCACCTCTCCTCTGCCCTCTCCCCCTCCCCGCCCCCTCCCCGTTCTCCTCTACTTTCCACTCTTCTCTCTTCGGATCCCTCTTTGTTGGGAAAAAACACACCCGCACACAACTCCTCCTAGCTAAGGCCTGCACTGGAAGCAGAAACTGAGTTCTCCTGGCCTGCGGCGAGGAGACCCGCGTCCTGCCCCCACCCCAGGTGGGTATCCGGGATCCCTACACACCAGGAGTCAGGCCCCCGAGCCCAGTGGGAGTAAACCCCCCAGGGCCTGTGAACCTGGCCCTCTCAACGCCACGGTGGCCTGCAGGGCCTGCATTCCCGCCGGCGCCCCCGCCCTGCCGCTCCGCAGCAAACGGGGCTATTTCCGGCTCCCCCAACACGGTCTGGTTTTCCAGCCCGGGGAGTGGCTGGAGGGGGAGCCGCCCCAGAGCTAAGGCTGCTCTCTGCCTGGAGCCCCAATGGCCCTGAGCGCGTTGTTACCTGATCTTTTGTGTGATGTACGTGTCGCAAGGAAATTTGCAGTGACTTTGGAGCCCAGACTGAGGAAGCGGAGGTGGCGAAAGGAGAGACAATACGGACCCGAAGTACAATTAAGGGGCCAGAGCGGCTGGTCTCTCCCCCGCCCTCCCTGCCCGACTAGGAGCTGTCTGGTCTCAAACCTCAGGGCGACCAGAGAACCTGGAGCCAAAACCTCCGCCGGTGGCCGAGAGAGCCAGAGGACTCCGCACCCAAAAAACAAGAGGAAAGCGCCCTTCCAACTTGAAGGCGCCGTAATCGGCCCCGCTCAGTTGCGGAGAATCCAATGAATGAAAGTGCACATTCCGACGAATTTTCCGATTTTTTCCAGCCTTTGGAAGGAGAGTCCAGGATTTGGGACTTCTCAGATAGACAAACAGGCCAACCGCATCTCCTGAGGCAGACAGACTCACAACATGGGTGTGAGCCTGAAATCACAGACAGGTTCAACACTCCCTGAGGCCTCTTGCCAGGCCCGGCGGGCGCCGATCTCCCTACCTTCTCTCGCTCAGGCAGGGACCCAGAAGACTCGGTCCCTCTGGCTTGGTCCAATCCCGCCTCGGGAAGCGCCTTCTTTACCTGCTCCTGGGCTTCCCACAGCCACAGATGCAGGGCAACCAACTCCCGCCCGGGGAGGGAAGCCCCGGCCACCGCAGCCGCCGCCGCCCGCCCTCCTTCCCTCCCTCCCTCCTGCTCGCCCTCCCTCCCTCTCTCCCTCCCTCGCGCGCTGCCGCTCGCGGGGCCCTCCCGCGGGCAACCTGCTCTGGACCAAATCCAGGTATCTCCGAAAGAGAAAAAAGAAGGGACCTCTTACTTGGAAAAGAAAAAAAGACCCTTAACTGCATTTATTTTTCAAGCTCTGACCATTGGTCGGCCTCAGTTCAGACGTCCGGGACGCGGCCCAGCAGCCGCAGAGGTGTGCGGGGCCTGCTGCCTCGCCCACGCTTGCAGCCGCACCCCGCGCACTGCACGCTCCACGCTCCCGGCCGCCGCCCCGGCAGCCCAAACACCCTACGGACCTCAAGGTCCTTCCTACAGACTCAACATCCGGTTGCCCGCCTCGCCGCTGGCCACAGCCCAGGAGCCGGCTCTGCTCCGTCTGCGGCCAAAGTCCACACACAATCCACCTTGTCGATGCTCTCGCGCCCTGCCTGGACACCCCTCCCAGCGAAGCCGCCCGCCGGGCCACCCTTGGGCTGCGGCCCTGCCCAGGACTTCAGACCTCGTTCCCTGCGTGGGACCTACACAAAGCCCTGCGCCCTGGAGCCCACCCGAAGCCCCGAGTCCTCGGCTGCCGCCGCCCCCTTCACCTGTTCCCGAGAAGGGCTGCATCTCCGAGCCAAGGCAAGGCCGTGGGCCGGGGCGAGGTACCGGGGAGGCCACTGCTGAGCCAGCTGGAGCTCCCGCAGCCGGCGAGATATCTCAGAGACGAAGGCTCTCCTTGGCGAGCTCTTGCCTTTTCCTCCTTCTCCCGCAAGTCTCAAACACTCACACGCCGAGAGTTCAGCTCTATAAATCCTGCTCCTCTTTCCCATATCATAATTAAAAAAAACCAGTAGGGGAGGTTTTAACTTTTATTGCGATTTCTGGAGTTGAGCTGCGGAGCATATATTAAGTTTACGCGTATGCGCTCTCGGCGGGGAGGGTCCTTTAAGAAATAAAAATCCATCTTAATATACGCAGACGAGAGAGATAATTTTTTCCCTCCTCTTCACGCTGTTCCTTCTGAAGACTCCCTTCCAGCGAAGCGAATAAATAATTACCATCGCCTCAGCCATGATCCACGGCCTCAGGGCCCCCCAGGGTTGACTCTGACCACCAAACTGGCCCTCACCTTGGCCCTAAGAGACCTTGCTCCATTTCTCAGGATTTAGGGAAGGGAACACCCCAACCTCTGGCTCTGTGGCCACCTCCCCATAAACCCATCAACTCTAAAACAGAAATAGGGGCAGAGGGACCCAAAGCTCAGAAGTCGTTCATTGGTGAATTTTGGCCCATCAGGGACAGTCTCTCCAAGCCACACACTCCTGAGCACCCTGCCCCTGCCTGAGACTCCCTTCACCCCATCTGGCTTTGTGCCTGGGGCAGCTCGAAGACTCAGAGGCTGAGAGGGGATCCCAAACCAGGGGAGCCCCTTGCCTGCCTCCCACCGGCTGGCCTGCCTCTCTAGAAACGTCCCTGTTTCCCTGGGAGCCCTCCAGAGATTTGAGTACTTCTCTCCAAGGAAAGAAAAAATTTTCCCCCACAGAGGGATGACGGACAGACAGACTGACAATTCAGCTGGGGAGACGAAAAGCTTTACTTCCATCTTCTCCTTCAGATTCCTTGAGGGTCAAAATAAATCTCTTTGTATGTGAGAGGGAGAGAAAAATTAATGAGTATGCATATAAATATACATAGGAGATCAGAGAGTCTAGAGGAGACAGAGAGATAGAAATAGAGACTCACACTTAAACAAGGTCACGTATGTCACCCCCTCCCCAGCAGACTACTACAAGAATATAGAGAATATAGAACTTATGTATATATTTTGTTACAGGGACATGATTTCATCCCTCTGTTTGAAAGTTTATAATGTTTTAATAATCATAATTATTCCAAAGTAAGAGAACCAAGAATCTGACCTTCTTTTAGCTTCCCTTTCCCAGTATCTCTGAGAGCAGGGGTGTATCTCCCCAGTCTCTCTGACCTCTCCCCCATTTTTCTCCGCAAGCAAAGAAACCTCTTTTGAGACCCTTCTCTCTAGCAACCAGGGCCTGAATTGAGGAATCAGAGTGGGGAAAGGAGTGGAGGAAGCTTTGCAAAGTTTTACATTGCTCAGATTTCCCCTACCCCATTACCCTCCCCACCACCCTCTGGCATCGGCCAACAACCTTCCCAACAACGTGGTAACAGTGGGTGCTGCAGTCTCTGTTCACACAGACATTTCCACACAGCGCAAAGACAGGCAACTGCCTGACAGCCACAGAGACACAGATCAAGGCCTATGGGGCCACAGACAGCTAACCAGAGGCCAGAGCCAGGCTTCTGCCCTGATGTTTCCCAGAGGGTGTGGGGGGCAGGGTGGTTTCTACTTGGACTTGAGAGCTTTCCTCTAACTTTCTAGTACCCCAAATTTACCCTTCCCCTGGAAATAGAGCTGCAGAAGGGAAAGCAGAGGTGGCTGGGCTGTCACTCAGAATTCCCCAATTCTTCGGACCTCCAGGCACCTCGCTTTTCTAAGGGGAAGCTCCAGCCCCAGGCGACTGAAGGCATATTCTATCCTTGAAGGTGGCAGGTGAGAGAAGCTAACCATTCCAGAGACTTCCTTCTCTTTCTGTGTTCCTCCCTCATAATGATTCTGCCCCACCCTGCTGCCCAACTGAACTGGCCTGCCAGGCCACCTCTTACTCAAACTCCTGAATTTCCTTGGAATTGGCTGGACCTTCTTTGTCTGTCTCCATCAGTTGGGCCCAGGAGACAATAGCTGCAGGAAAAACTCCTCTCTCTCAGTGACAGGGATTGGGACAGGCTGAGGAGGAGACGGTATAAGGCAGAATTCTCCAGACTTGTCCTTGGCCCCACTCACACCTTGCCCTCCTTGGTATGCACCCACTTTGCCCTATCTGGGAAGGGGCTGTGGGGCAGTCCCACTGGGGAGAAAAGGAGCAGGAGAGGTGGGTTGGGGCCCTCGACGAAAACCGACTGATGTAACTCAGGCAGTTTCTTGTTGCCGAGTTCAAAACTCAATCCCAACAACATGAAACTACCTAAGCCACAGATCAGCTGAGCAAGCAGGGCGGGAGATTCGGCTTTGCATCTATCCGGAGGAGAAGGGAAGGGGGTTGGGGAAGGAAGAAATTCAGCCCCGTCCCCCTTTCCGCCCCCACAACCTCCCTAAGGATTAAAGAGTAGACTTTGGGTGGCTGGGTGGGTAGGGGGGTCTGACTGTCTTCATCAGTTTCTGTTCTAAGCAAATCACTCAGGGACAATCTGGTGAAACGGGACCAATAGCCGCCAAATCCCCGCCCCACCCCCAGCACCGCAGTGGAGCTATTCCCCTGCATGTGGCCCTGGCCCTGGGGGAAGCTGGATCTACCTTCCACTCTTTAGCTGGGTCCCCTGTCTTGTCCATATGGCTCTCCTCTGCTCTCCTCCTAGACTCTCTCTGATCCTCTCCCTCTCTCAGCTCAGTTTAGGCTTCCCAGCAAATACGGGCGGCCAAACCACAAGCGCCTCTGCCCTGGAGCCACTTCCAATCAGGACACTTGCCTGGCAAAGCCCCACAGCCAGGGAGCATGGGGACCAGGAGCCTGGATAAGGCTTACACCCAAACCAGCAAAAAGCAGGAAAATCTAAGCTTCAAGCTTCAATCCTCTCTAAACCCCCCTTCCTCCCAACAGACAACCAGACTGAGCAACACCTAGACCAGTTTGTCAACCTCAAGGCAACCCTTGGTGCCTGCAATGATAAAGAAGCCAAAAACCACCAATTTACCCCTTTAACAGCCGAACCCCATAGCAATGGGCCGGGGAAGGGAGAAGAGAGAGCTCACGGCCGCTGCCCTTCACTGCCAGCGGCCACAAGGCAATCCTGGGCTCTCAGCAAGCACGGATGCTCAAAACACCTTCCTCCCAGCTCTGTCCACCGCACGCCGGGCACCTGGGGATGCCGCTAGTCCCTACTCCGCCGCCAAGAGAAGAACAAGAAACCGCTTCCCTTACCTTGTCGCTGCCTCCTCCTCCTGCTGCTGCCACCAGCGCTTCTGTTAGCTGCTGTCGAGGGGGGGAGGGCAGTGAGCTCCTCGTGCCCCTCCAGCAGTTAAGTTTATTCCTCTCCTTGGATGGGTGGGGGGCTCTTGGGGTGCCCCCCAGCCGCGGTGGGGTGCGCCCAGCTCAACACCCCAGGCAATCAGATCCGTCTGCTCCTCAAGATTGCAGTTTGCTCTCTGCCTCTTTCCCTCCTCCAGTCACCTTTAAATGCATCTTTTACTGCAGCACCACATTATATTTGCAGATCATAAAATCCACCTCTCGCGCGCACCAAGACCGTCCTGACATTACTGTTTTATGACCTTGACTTATTGTGGTCACCTGGATAATATTTAAATCAACGTTATGGTCTCTCACTTACATTAAACCCGCCAAGAGACGTTCTAGAAAGGCTCTAGGAGATGAGTCAAACACAGAACACACGCATCCACACACTCAGCCTCTTTGGGGGAGGGGGTGTCGCTAAAAAACACTAAAAACAAAAAACTACCCATTTGAGGATTACGATTCTGGAAATTTATTAGGATTTTTTCTCCATTAAGGAAGCTACATGCAAAAGATACAACATACAGAATATCTTTAAATAACACAACTCCCAGACAGGGACAGGGCAACATGGGGGTGAGGGAGCATTCTGTCTTTGCTTTGCTATGTTCTATTTTTAATATTTTTGTTCCTCTGGATGGATTTTCTGAGATGTTAGTGGATGGGGATGTGGGGGTGCTGGGAGGGGTGGGAGAAAAGCAGAAAGCAGTACAAATACAAGACTTCAAGCAGATTCTCAGAGCGACTGGGAGGTAAAGACATGGAAAAGGTTTGGTGGAGGCGCTGGGTGCTACGACATACACACAAACACTAGCTGAACTTTACAAAACATCTATTTTTCTAAGGAGGAAATGCAGCAAGGAAGGAGCGATTCTGACTGTGCTCTGCGAGATTACAGACCCTCTGGTTGATTTTTTTTCCCCCTACAATCGGGTGGATTCTATCTTAACTTTGCGTGGAGAACAGAATGCTGTGTGTGAGTGTGTGGCTGAGTGAGGGGTTGACACACACACCAGGCACACTCCCACCCCCATCTATGAGGGCACACCCCACACCGCCGCACCCCATTTCTCATGCTTTAGGTGGAAGTATCTTCGCAGCACAAACCATAGGTCCCTTGGAAGGAGAGTCTGAGGTCTCTGCTTTTTTTGCAGGCGCGTTGCATTTATACTCAGGTAGCCCTTGTCAAATGAACTCACACTGATTGTAGAACTTTCCCCTTTTGTTCTGTGCACATTAAGTTCAGCCAAAAAATTCTAAGTGGTCTCATAGCAATGCTAGTGGACTATATCCAATTGCATTATCAGTATAGTTTCAAATTTTCTACTTGGCCTGTTCAGGCACAAACACTTTAGTGGACACTGGGGCCATAACAGGACTTTGGAGCTAATGAGGAGGGATTCTGGTGAGGATTAAAAAGAATGTACTCTGAGTATAAGATGGGAAAAAGACTTGATGCTGAGCAGGAAGTGTGATTTTTGAAAGTTCTCCTCTAAAGAACTTTCTGCACTTCAGGCTCCCAAAGAGAGAAAATAGGAGCCGGACTGAGTTCAGGTCCCACTAAAAAAGGAGGGGGAGGAGGAAGAAAGGGAGGAGGGGGAGGGGGGAGGGGAGACCGCGCACTCAGGTGAAATTAAAATTGGAGGTCAGTTCCCGGATCCGATTCTCTCGGTTCATTTTCTTGAGTTTCATTCTGCGATTTTGAAACCAGATTTTGACTTGTCTGTCTGTAAGGTTAATGGTCTTGCTAATCTCCAGGCGGCGCTCTCGTGTCAAATACATATTGAACAGAAATTCTTTCTCCAATTCCAGCGTCTGGTGTTTAGTATAGGGGCACCTCTTCTTCCTTCCGCTCTTTGCTGTCAGCCAATTTCCTGTGGTGTTTTCTGCCTTTATCTCCTCTGTTAAAAATAACATTATTTACATAAGTATCCCTCGAAGAGAAACCCCCCTCGCAGTGCTGCGGCCTTTGCCAGCCTGCTATTGGGGCAGCTGAGGGAGCACAGGGGAGCTGCTCTTGCCTCACAGGCCTGATTGGTGGGGTCCTCTTGGGCTCAGGACTCTTAGAATTTTTTTGGACTCTAGACTTAGAGGGGAGAAAGGGAGAAGGTTCCTGTTTCCAAAGGGTTTATTAAACTTAAATTACCCAAGTCCGCCTTAACCTAGTAGATACTGAGTTTTCTCCATTTCCCCCAGCTTGCTGACCCTGGTGGATGCCCTAAACCTCACGAGGCCCTCCCTCTCCTCTGTTCCATTCCATTGGAAAAATCCAAGCATACAGGAAAGCATTTTCCAGGCCCCAGTGAGTGCATAGCCCACCCCCCCCAGCCCAGAGCAATTCCCACAGAGCTTTGACCCTTTTCAACTCCATGGAGGGACTTTGTCCTAGTCTTTGTAGCCAGAGGCCATTGCAGCTGTTCCTACACCAGGCCCCCAGCTCTTACTCCCACCTGAGTTGCCACAGAGTGACTCTGTCCCTTTAGCTCTCCCTGTTGCCATCTCTTCCTCCCCTGGCCATTTCCCCCAGGTGTGTGTAGCTGAGGTAGGGGAGCTTGTGAAAACACAGAGGTCAGGGGAAACAGCTCTGGGGCATGCTGAGGGGTCCTCAGACAACTTCTCTGGCCAGAGGACCTAAGGTCAAGGGAGAGAGATATCCTGAGGAAATGCAGCCTCCTAGATAACTCCTGCCCAGTCTGTATGTATGTAGATGTATACGTCTGCAAGTACATGTGTATACCTGCAGAGATACACACACCTATACACATATGTATACATACACATAGATGTGTACATGTGTTTCTATTTATATAAGGAAACACTAGAGTATAATGTGTATTTCCTATTATCTTATTGACAGCTTCTCTCTGTGGCACGCGTTCTTGCTGAAACGGACCAGTCTTGCTCCTCAAGCAGCAGATAGGAACTTGGCTGTCAATTTTAGGAAAAAACAGAGTCCAAAGACCTGAGAGGGGCATCCAGCAAAGGACTCTGCTGATAACTCCAAGCTCTCCTTCCTATGCCAAATGAAGCTGCCATGTTCCTGGATCTTATCTTGATTGGGGGTGAGGTGGAGGCCTTTGGGGAACCAGGAAACACCAGGAAAAAAGCAAACCTGAGGCTGCAGTCTAAAAAATCTGAGCATCCTTAATTATTCTCTTGCCTCTGCATCTGCAGCTTCCTGCCGAATTGTTTACAGACTCTCCACATCTAACTCTGTCCTGTTTATTTTATTATTGGGGTTGTTGGGTTTTGGAGGGAAGAAAGAAATTATAAATGGGGATCTTTAGCCAAAAACTCTCTTGCTTCTGGCTTGGTGGAGACACCAAAATGGGGGGAGGTGCAAGAAGGGCACATTCAAAGTGTGGGCTAAGGGAAATTTGTTGGCGTGGGAGGGCTTAAGTTGTGTGGGAACAACAGGAGAGAAAGGGGAGCCTTCCAAAATGGGTGCAGTTCCAGTTAGGAGTTGGACTTGCTAACCTTGACTTTGCTTTTGGTGGGGCTAGAACACAGCTTTTCCTGCCGTAATTCTGCACCCCAACTAAGCTCAGGGTCCAGGGTCCATGGAGAGGGCATACACTTAAGCCTTCACACTGCACATGGGCCACAAGGAAAGCTTCTTGGGTATGGGGACCTCATTCTCCCCCTCATCCTCACAAATGCACCCATGCTCATTATCTGGCCAGTATCTCTATGGGCTGATTTGCCAAGGCCACCTTTGCAGAACAGACTGAATAGATCCAAGAGGGTGAGGCTCTGCCCTTGCCCGCCAAGAAAGCGTGTGCATGTGTGAGTGCAGGCATGTGTGAGTGTGTGAGGAGCATGTGAGAGGGGTGTGTGCGAGTGTGACACAGGTCGCCGTCAGGCATGCGTGTGCGTCGCATCCATATACAAAGCACCACAAGATCCAGGCCATCCCAGCCTGCTCCGCTCTCAATATTTCATCTGCCTCTACACCCAATAAGCCCCTGGTATATACATACTGCTGCCAGTAGCCAGTGTCATGGGGAGCAGGTTCATTCCTCCCCACTGGGTCTTTTCCGATGGTTTTTGCTTCAACTTTTCAAGGGAAGTCGTTCCCCTCAGCCTCCCTCGCCTGCTCCCGTTTCCTCTACATTCTCTCCCCAGGTGTCAGAGAAAGGTCCGGAAGGCCTCCAGTTCCTAAAGCAGAAATGAATCTTGAACCCTGAGCTTGAACTCTGGCTAGGCTTTCTCTCTCCAACCAAAACCACAATGAAATCCAACCAAAGCCACACTTTCTTTCAGGAGAAAATCACTTGCCACGCACACAGAAATTTCCCAACCACTCATTTGTAAGCTGCTTTTGGAAACCAGTGGGGGTAAAAATGTAATTTAACTAGAAAAAAAAAAAAAAAGACAAAGAAAAAATTTTAAAGAGGAGACAAAAAACTTACAACATTCCAAATGCCCTGTTCCAACGGCATCCCCAAGCCAGGAATCTGGACGAGGGAGGGACGTGGCGGGCAGCTCTTCACCTCCACCTCTTCCGGCCCCAGCCCCGCTGTCCAAGGCCCCCCGGCCGAGCCAAAAACCTCAGGAGCCCAAACCGAACGTACAAATCCGACCCACAAACAACAAATCACGTTTCGCGGGAAACAATTTTCAACTGGGAAAACGCAATAAAGAGAAATCCCCCATCTCCCAAGCTTTCCCTAGTCCCTGGCCCAAGATCGCCATTTTAAGCTTTTTGCAAGCCTCTGACCTGAGCGGGGGACATCAGCCCCCCAGGACACCAGCATTGAGAAAGTAAACCAAAGCCAGCATGTGCCCAGGAGCAATCTCCGGTCCTGGGCAGCACAGGGCGCCTGCAGGCTGCCAGGGGTGCGCACCGCCCCTGCCGTCTCACCCACGGCCGGCGGCCTGGGCACCTCCACGTCGCCGCTTACCTTCCCCAGCTAATTGACGCGCCACCAGACTCGAGCTCAGCAGACACTAGTCGCAAGCCAGGGTCGCATTCCCGAGACCGTCCGGGGGCCTCCTTGGCACAACCCTCCCCGTGTCCCCAGCCCCGGCCACGAAGACCAAGTGCCCGGGACTCCCAGCCAGCCCGCGGCCCAGGCGGCCTTACCTTTCGCTTCGTTATCCGAGGTGTCTGGGCTGGAGTCGGCGGTCTTGGCCCGCTCCTTTTCGCTCTCCGAGGGGCTGCCTTTTGGGCCCACCAGGCTTTGCTCCGTCTTGATCTCATTGGGGCTGGGGGTCTGGCTGTCGGACTTGGGGGTCTCAGGAAAACTCACTTTGCCCCCGAGCTGAGGCGATTCCAGATGTTCGGCGCGCGGGTTGAGACTGGCCCGCTGCTCGAAAGGGGCTTCGAAGTCGTTGGCCCCGGCACAGTGGGGCGTCTTGTCCAGCGCCGAGTAGCTCGGGCTGGCGCGGTAGTAGCTGGGCACGGGCACCTCGTGCTCCCCGAGGCAGGACTCCGGCAGGGGGTGGGAGTAGAGAGCTGCCTCGGGGCCACTTTTCGCCCGCTTCTCTGCGCTGTACATGCAGCAGACATTCTCCTCCTTGACACTAGGTGGGTAGGAGCAGGAGGACAGAGGCCTGCCAACAGGTTGTTCCAGGCGGTAGGCGGCTTTGGGGTCGCCCCAGGAGTCCAGCTGCGAGAGGTAGGACGGATAGGTGTTGAGGGCGAGGTTGGGGCTGCCGCCCTCGTCCCTCTTGGAGAGCGAGGGCGCGAGCCCGCAGCCCCTCATCACCCCGCAGTTGAAGTCACTCCCAGACTGCATATACATGCCTGCGCTCCGGCTATAGCGCTCTCCTCCGCCGGGCGCAGCCAAGGGCTCCGCGTACGAGTTCGGAGTTACATTGCGAGGGCATGTCATTTTCAGAGAGAGGGGTTTTTAAGGAGCAATACTATAGCGGAGGAGCTGACATCTTTTTTTTTTCCCCATCCGGGAGGGGGGGCGCGGTTGGAGGGACGGGAGGGGAAAGACGGGGAGGGGGGGAAATATCAGCTCCATAATTATCCGCGCATTCGGTCCTCACCATGTGACGGCTAGACCAATGGGATTTGAAAATGGCCTTGATGATTCAGACGGCCGTGACGTCAGCGGGGTCAAGTTGTAGGCAGGCGGAGCGCGCAGCGTGGAGTAACAGCGCCACCTAGCAGCCGCCGCGGGGTAGGGGCGAGGGGGGAGGGGGATGGGGAAGTTCTGGGGAGAGTGGGGTTTGTTTACTCGGGAGCCAGCTTGTAACTCCTGGGGAGAGGGGGGCGGAGAGGGGGCAAATGCGGGAGAGAGGGAGAGAGGGAGGCGACCCTGGGCTCAAAACAGTCAAATTCAAATTAAAAGGTCAAGACATGATTCAGGTACTTCTTCCGCACTCTCTGCCTCCCCCTTTATCTCCTAGGCCCCTTCCCCCGCTTCTTCCCTTGGGGTGGGAGTGGGGTGAGGGTTTTTTTTGTGGGGGAGAGGGTGCTCCGGTGGGCAGAGAAAGGGAGAAAAAGTTAAGGGATGCCAAACAGGACTGAAGTTTCTGCTCTCCTGCCTCCCTGCCTCCTCAGTCCGTGGGCTTGGCCCTTGGGGCCGGGAGCTCGGGGACGCCTGTGTCGGAGGTTGGTTGAGTGGCAAGTTCCCTGTGGGCACTGACGAGGAATCTCCTGTGTCTGGGGCGGGTTAGGGAGGGGGTCACGGTCACTTCAGGACTGCTCGGAAAGGAAGTTCCGAGAGGATGTGCGGGTCGGGGGAGGAGGAAGCCGGCGACCCGAGGCACCCACGCCCCGACCCGAGAGCCGCGGCCTGGGCCTGGCTGGGCGGGCGGCTCCCGGGTCACCAACTCAGGGACCGGAGGCCTGTGGCCTCGGAGCCGGTTCTGCTGCTTTGCGCCAGGCCCTGGCGGCCGTCGCCGTCTGCCTGACCTTGCCTCCTCCAAAACAGGGACCGTGCCCGAGGGGAAGGCGAGAAAGAGAAACCCGCGGAGCCGCGGCCGCCTGGGGGGAGTTCTGTATCACACGGGAGGCCAGGACACCAGAGCGACCAAATACGACCCAGAGAAGTGTCCTTTACACGGCGAAGGGGCCGGGAGCACTTGGGAATGAAGAGAGAACAGTCTATTTTTGTTTTTCAATAAAGGGAAGAAATAAGGGGCAATGTACGTTTCGGATAGTTCTTCCCGTTTCTCCCTCGCTTTTCTCCCAAAGCGAACTGAACTCTCCTCCCCTTCCTCAGGAAACGGAATCCGGAGAATAACTTGTCTTTCCGGTCGCCCCGCATTTTTCCCGGACAGAGGCTGAGGCTTCTACTCTCCGCGGGGCTGGAGCCTGGCGGGGGAAGGACCCGAGCGCGAGCGCCCGGCGTGGAGGGCGGCGGAGGCCTGCGGAGGCCGAGCCCGCGCGGGAGGACACGCCGCGGAGGCAGAGCCGCCCAAGGCCCCTGTCCACGGATAGGGACGGAAGGCGCAGGGGTCCCGGGACCCCCGGAACACTGGAAGGAAGTGCGGAGAGTGTGACTTGCTGGCAGGAGCAGCCGGGGGAGATTGGGAATGGTTTTGTGTTTTCATTTGCAGGGGTCGCCGTGGCCTCAGCATGGGGGTTGTCCAGGGCAAGGTTAGGCTGTTTAGGCCCAGACGAGACTTGGGACAACCCGGGCAGCAGTCAATCCAGGGAGCCATTTGTCCCACCGCCCATCCCACGGGAAACGACCGAGACTTTATGGCCACTCTGTTTGTATTATCTGCATAAGTCTTTCCCCACCAGTTTGATCGAAACCGTTCCCTTTTACGAGGACCCAACGAAAATTTCCCGTCATATTTATCAGCCGAGGATAAAAATTTAGTATGGGAACTGATATTTCCTCATTTATGGGACGATGAAATTAAAGACCAAAGCAATTGAGAATTATATGGCTTTGGGGGGTTCCCTCCCCCCCTTCCACATCTTTATTTTCTTGCCTGGTTTGCCTCTCCCTGGAGTTTACCGTCCCGGTCCCGTGTCCTTGCCTCCCCCCCCCCCATCGTTTTGCAGTCTGTTGGGCCCTTTTCCCCAAGGCCAGGTGCCACTTGGCTACCTCAGCTTTTCCTGGTTATTCTCTCGGTATTACTAGCCGGGGGCCGGGACAGTGCTCCTGGAACCTCTGCCCAGACCAGGCTGGGATTAGTGCAGGGTTTTGAGGAAAGAGCCTCTCAGGGGACAGGTCCAAGGCCCAGTCTGGGAGGAGGTTGTGGGAGTCGGCAGAAGAGGGTGAAGGAGATAAACTCTTCAAAAACAAGTTTCAAGGCGGAACCTGGGAAAGCAGCAGGAGAGGAACGAAGCCGCTGGGCCTGGGGAGAGCCCCACCAGCCTGACCCCCATCCCAAGCCCACCTCTCACCTCAGCCGTGGGAGCGGATGGAGTCGCCTCAGAATCCTTGCCACTATTAATAGAAATAATGCTCCCGGGAGAAGGAGCCTTCTGCTTTGACTCCCACCTCCTCACAAGAACGAATAGTGTTTAAAGTTGAAATAATTAGAAGTATGATAAACACGGGCCATTAATGAAAAAAGAAATCAAATTCATCAGCCTAAGTGGGACCCCCGGTGGGACAAATGTTTGCCTCTAATTACGCAAGACAAACGAAACCCGGCGCTGCTAAACAAAAGCCCGCTCTCTCGGACGCAGGCTGGAGTAACTTGGGTTTTCCCAGACTTTGGGATTCTGCCTCAGTGGAAGTAAAGAAGACAGTGTGAGGACGGAGCGAGGGGAGCATTTTTGTGCGGGTCTGGAGAAGTCCAGCCGGGTCTGGGTCCCAGCCCTGCCCCCTCGGGCTCGGTCTTTCCCGAGGCCATGAGCAAAGGCCGTTTCCGTCCTATTGTCCGGGCCTGGCGTTCAAAGGCACACGGGCCGCCACAGCCACCCCTGCTGCTGCCGCTGCCACTGCCAGGCGCCCACCGGCTCTGCCCACAGGGCCAAGACCCTCCGGCTTGCACCCCTGACCACTGGATTGGGGTCCAGAGGAAGTCTGTGTTGCTAGAATCACCCCCATACTGCCTCAAGCCATTCCCCCAACTTTCCGGGAGCACCGAGAGACCTGCGCCTATGCCTGACTCTGGGGTTCCCCTTTCTTACCTCAACTTGGGGACAAGAAAATCCGGGGCTGCAGGCTAGAGAGGGACTCATTCCACCGACTCCAGGAGCCCCGGCCCCTTTCGCCCTTCCTCCAGGGGCACCCAGACCCTGGAGAGGTAGCAGGGACAGGGCTGGGCCTCCTGCTGCCGGTGGGGCTGTGAGCAAGGGAGAGGAGGAGAGTTTCAGAGCTCCTTGGTACTCCGAGAGAATCCAGCAGGTTCCACAGGGCAGGCCAGGGGCTGGGACGATAGGGTCCCCGCATGAAAGCAGAAGGAAAATGTGGTACTGGATGAACAGAAAGGAACCTCGGCTGTTTTCCCGGTGCCTGTAGCCCTGAAAGCACCCCAAAGCACCCTGAATTCTCCAGAGAAAATTATCAGAATTTCCCCAAGAGATTAAGGAAGTCATCTGTGAAATTCTGAAGATGAAATGAAAAAGGAAGAGTGTCTCTCTCTTTGGAGAAAAATAATAAAATAAAAACAAGGTGTGTGTATTGAAATCTCTTCAAGTGAAATGGAAAACAAAATCACACTGGTGATTGCAGGTTTTTTCCTCTTGTTTTGGAGACCAAGATAAATCCTTCTCTTCCCACAACTTGAGGGAAAGATTTCCTTTTCTTTTCCACTAGCACCAGGCTCTGCCCCAGCTGACTTCGGAGCAGGGAAGCCCCAGGCGAAATTTGGAATGCCCGGAGGCCCCCTCCCCAATTTTTTTCAAACAGGTAGGAACAGGAGGTGGGAGGCCAGGGACACTTAGAGGGACCTCTGGTCTACTCAGGATCTCGCAGCCACGCCAGCAGCCCGGCCCGCAGAATCGCTCTCACATCTGGACCTGGTACGCACTTGCACCTAGATGCTGCGGAGTTTAGCATCTATACAAGTGTCTAACTTGCACTTAATTGCGTGTACACAGCCACAAATATTCACTTTTACCCAAAGTGCTCACTGAGATCCCGGAATCCTGAAGTCTGAAAACCCGCGCCAGCCCGACTGCTTCCTGGCCCTGCCGAAGCCAGCCAGTTATTTAACTTTGCCTCCTGAATCGAAACCAGACTGGAAACACCTCTGGAAGAAGCTTTGGGAGGAGGAGACAGATGGGAGGATTTCTTGGGGTGAAGGCCCCAATCCCCACTTTAATGGTTTGTTTCTAAGTTGCCCCAGTAGGTCAGGTTTCCAGCCAGAGTTGGGGCTGTGGTTGGGCTGGCTTGTTCCGAAGAAAAACCCCGATCCTCCCTCACTGGCTACATTCCTTTTCAAATATAGCTGTTTTCTTTTTTTTTTCTTTCTGTCTCCTTCTTACTTTTTCTTTCTTTTTGTTTTGTCCTTCTCCATTCTCTTTGTTTCTTTCTCTGTATTTCTTTCTTTCCTTCTTTTTTCACCCTGCAATTCATTTTTCCTTTTTCCGGTTCTTTCTCCTTCTTTTTAAATTTGTCTTTCTTATTTCCCCATTTCCTTGTTTCCTTCTTTCTTTATTATACAATTTATTCTTTGCTATTTTCTTTCCTTCTCAATTCTTTCCTTCCCCTTGTCTTTCTTTCCTAGTCTTTCCTATTTTTCTCTGTTGTGCTGGGCTCGGAGAAGAGGAAGCACCAGGCTCAGCTGCATGCCTTCCCAGCCTGGCTGCTAAGGCTTGGAGTTGACCTTCTCCCGCCTTCAGCCTCAGCTCGGCTGCTCGCAAGGCAAAGTGTAGGGCTGCCAGCAGCCACTGGCCAGGCCTCAGCAGTCACCATTAGAGGGAATAAAAATCTCAGGTTTGGGGGCACAGCCGCACTGATGCTGATAGCTACCTGAAGTGCCAGGTTCCAGGTGTCAGGTATCTTCACTTCCATCTCCCCAAAAGAGCCTTGTCCAGCAGGGCTGCCTTTGGAGAAGTCGCCCCACCGTTGTCCTGACCTCCA